TATATATAACTTTTACACTAGAATACTAGTAGCATCTTTCTGAGGTATTATTTTAATACAAATACTGAGTGTGCTAAAAATGTGGCAAAAATGGCTGGAAAATAGATATATATTATAAGAACTATAAAATACTACAGTTTACTAGATCACATATAACTGTGCTTTAGCAAAATTTTATACTATGTGACACTGCTATAATATATTAAAGATATAACACATTATTGAAATAGCTAAGCTATAAAGATATTTATATCTGTTAAATAATAAAAACATACATATACACTTATTTCTAAATAGCACTGATAGTAGCTCAAGTGTGTATAATATAATATCAAATGTATCTGTTAATAGAGAATATATTGTATATTTACTATAAAAACTTTAAACTTATATTTGCAGAGCAAATTAGTACTAATAGTATACTAATAACAAACAGTGAGCTAATAAGTGTAAGTAATATGTAGCTAACAAATATAATATGCAAAGAACTTATGATTAATATTAAAAGAACAGATTAATATTCGATTATTTAATAACAAATAATGATTTATTGAGCATGCATAATGTGTAGCTAACAAGAATAGTATACAAAGAACTTGCAGCTAACATATTGAGAACAGATTAACATTTATAGTATTTCATTAATAGATAGTGAACTGCTTAGCAGTATAAGTATATAGCTAACAAGAAGTGTGTACAAAGAGTGTATAAATAGCATTCTAAGAACAGATTAGCAAATATAATGTAACATCAAGAAATAGTGAACCGTTTAACAGTTTGAATGTATCTTTCACAAAAATAACATACAAAAAACTTGTAATAAGTATTGAGAGAACAGATTAGCAAATATAATATAATCATAATAAGCAGTGAACTGCTAAATAAATATATTGTACCTTTACACAAATAATATACAAGGAACTTATGATTAACACTCAAAGAACAAATTAGCAAATATATTGTAATTTGAATAAATGATGAACTGTTTAGCAGATATAGTGTACAGCTAACAAAAATAGAATGATAAGAACTTCAGATTAGTATTCACAGAATGAAATAACAGTTTTAACATTTTTATAACAAATGGAGAACTAATTAATATATTTAACAAACTAAAAGTTTTGCACTAATGAAGAGAGAACAGATTAGCTGATATAAGATGCAGTTATTGTATCTAACATATAGAAAGTGTTGGCTGAACTCATTTAACTAATTACCTCATCTAACAAAGCAAGAATAAAATAATATTTTATGAATATTGAAAGAGCACCCATTACTGCTATTTACTGTTAAA